TACTGATCATCCTTCCTTGCACCCAGCATGAAAAACAGTGCTGAGGCTACCTTCCATCAAGTACATCCTCCAACATTAGGAACGGAATCCAGTGTACAGAATCCTTGATGTATATTGTCATCCTGAACACTATTCACCATCATCACCAAATTTCATTACCTCACCAGCTATGTGCAATTTATTTGTCAGATATCATAAGTTTACTTATAAATGTGGCGTCATTCACAAAATCTGGCGATGTTTCTAGACAAAAAATACGTTTAAAAATTGCGTGAGAGCAAAATATTTGTAGTGAACTGGCAATGTTGGTTCGCCCTGAATGCGCTGACGTTTTTATTTCAACTAGATATCCCACCAAAATCCCCACACGAACCTTGTACTGTGACGAATGTCCAGATGGTTTGTCGGGTCGCTTTTCCGGACACTACACAGGCATATTTACCATTATCTTGAGCGCTTGCCGAATGAATCATCACAGCAGTGCGCAACTCGCTATTTTCCGACTTATACTCTGCAAAATTATCAACAGAGTTTTGGAACATCGTCCCTCTTCCCACTGTTGCCGAAATCCTGCGACTGAATGAGTGCCCTTAATAAAACAAATTGCCAAGAAATCCTGAAAAACTTAGTTTTCTAGCCCCGATCTTCGCTTTTCTCCGTACGTAACAAGGCATCTTCACCACTTTCTCAAGTTCTACTTCCCTCACAAGCACTACAAGTGTTTCCAGAAATTTTAAAGATGCAAACAATGAATATTTCTGGCTAAGGGACTGGAAGAGAACGGGGCATCAAGTCTTTTATGCGTTTACTCGGTTGTTTGTCGCTGTTGGTCCACTGTTGAAAGGAACACAACTGAATTTTGATAGTTACGGAAAAACTGAAAGTGCCATTTAGATCTCCCAAACAAGCAAGCCTGTATGTATTCTGAGCTGGTATCCTGTCTGTGTTTTATCCCTGAGCTGTAAACACAGACGGCAGAATCGGTGAGAATGGGATGGGAATCATCAGTACAGTGCTCCATTCCGGTTAAAAGGAGCATATGGATTACAGAAGGAAGATGAAAGAAAGGGAAATAAAAGTCACACTAAAAATTAAATACACTAAGCAGATGGCCCAAAACCGTGTGTTGAATATAAAACGTCAATTCGCCAGACATGTAACAATTTCAAGGATTATCTGGAAAATTTCGCTCGAGAGAATGCAAATTTTTAGCTATAGTGCTCAATAGCTTTGACTGTGAACATACTCGGAATGGGCTGGCCGTATTCATTGACAATATGCCAAGACACGGACGATTGTGGGTCATCCGGAAGGCATTCCAGTATCAAACTTCCTCCCTCAGGCACTGACATTTCGGATGGAAACTCCTTTAACAACACATTTTTTGTCGTATTTACATCTGAAATTTTCAAATTCATTTTTGAGAGCGTTCGTTCCCTGAAATATATGTATGAAAACCCCTGCATATAGCGTACTGAGTCTCGGGCAAAAAGCGTAACCTGAATATGGCACTTAAATCGCTCCTTAACTCAAGTGGTGGCAATACATAACTTTTCCCCAGTTCACATAACTTTTTTCCAATTTGCATAACCTCTTATTAGCAATTTAGCGCCCTCGTTTTAGCGCACTCCCTATTTCCACGCGGCTTTTTTTTTGGACCTATTTATCAGCATTTCTTTTATTCAATTGTTAGTACCCCATGCACGTACTACTTTAGCCTTCTTTTGACAGAACATTCACCGAATACGCAGTTGGTGTGCTTGTCGACATGCAGCAACCACGGGACGCTAATGTTAGGAATCAAGAGAGCTTACGCCAAATATAAAACCCAAGTAGCAGCGTGAACTAGGCTTTTCTCCGCTGCGATTAAGTGTTTTTGCGCTAATCTTGAAGCAGTCAAAACCTTAACAGTATAAGGTTGTTGTTTTACAGTTAAACAAGTGCAGCCACGTTCACAATATTTTCAGTGCTCCCCTCCACAGAAAGGGAAAGGAGCGCTAGTTAGGACCGTGGTACTACACTGTCGGGGTGTGGCAACTCAACTTCTAAAAATTGTGTGGCAACTCAGCTTCTAAAAATTATCTTGAAGAGAGGTTATCTGCGAAACAACGCATCCCTAACTTCGCCGTATTCATAGGCGAAGTGCAAGCGTTCGTGAAGGCTGATTTTATGTCTCTAGCAAGACAGAAGACATACCAGCACTCTCGTTAAATTTACGCTTTCTTGTATGTCTTGACATTGAATTTGTGCATTGCAAGAAAGAAGAAAAAAGACTAAAAACAAAAATAAGAAAACCTTGAGTGGGCGCAACAACCAC